GGTGAAGGTTGATCTGATGCGCCGCGTACCGAACCGCAAACGGCCACAGAAAATGGGGGGCAGCCGCATGCATCATGGACGTACGGGCGACGTCCATGACCATGCCAATGCGGCGCTTAGCAATCCCATTTTGCTGTGGAGAGTCCGGAAGCGTGAAGGTCTGGCGGATGCCTCGTGCACGACAGTAGGCTCGCAGAAGGCCAGAGGAGAACTCTCCACCTCTGTCAGAGTGCAGACGCAGAACAGGAAAGTCCGAGCCGAAGCTCTGCCTGAGCTGGAGACGAGCTGCGCGGATCCAGTCGATCAACACCTCAGTGACATCACCCTTGCTGCGCAAGGGGAAGACTGTGGTGTAACGCGATTAGTCGTCAACCACCAGCAGGAAGTAGCGCTCGTGACCCTGTCCACGGACGCGGGCCGGGCCCCACACGTCCATGTGAAGCGTCTGCAGCGGGGCTTCTGTCGGAGGAAACTGGGAGGAGTGAGGGGCAGCCCGCTGCCGCCCCTCGACACAAGGGACGCAGGTAGGGCCGGGCCCCGGAGGAAGGGGAGGGAGGGAGCGGGGAAGACCAGAGACAAGGACACGGGAGGCCATGCCTCGGAGACGAAGCAGGGAGGGGTGACCAAGGCGGTGGTGCCAGAGGAGAGTCTCGTGCGACAGGAGGCGACACGAACAGGGGGCAGACTCAGGACCAGACCTGGACGCTGCAGCAAACACCTGACCCGACACAGCTACCTGACCAGACGCAGTGACTGGAGGAGACGCAGTGGTCAGTGTGTACAGGCTCGACCCCGGCCGACGTGTAAACGTGGCCAGGTGTCGGCCTGTCCGAGCGTCCGTGCAGTGGGTCACCCGCTGACTCGCAGGAGTGAACTGGTGAACGCCCGCATCCTGTAGGTCAGCACCACTCACCAAGTTCGTAGAGAACGAGGGGAGGTAAAGACCAGACAGGGTGCCAGAGGGGGCTGCCGGACACGGGAGGACAGTGGAGAAGTGAGCAAGGACAGGACCCCCAGAGGGGTCTGCCAGAGAGACTGCAACTGGCCGGCCAAGCGGCGTGAGTGTGGTGCGGTCTCGAAAGAAGGAGCGAGAAGCCCCCGAGTCAAGGGTGAAGGTGTGGGAGGCCGAAGCCGACGCAGTACCTGAGAGAGCAGACTCACCAGCACCTGAGGGAGCAGACGCACGAGCACCTAGAGCAGCAGCCTCGCTAGCACCTAGAGCAGCAGCCTCACCAGTACCTAGAGCAGCAGTCTCAATGCCCGGGTCGGGCGGAAAACACCGGTAACAATCACCCTCATCACTAATAGTCACAGCATACATGGCAGCAAGAATAGCATCAAAGTCAAGGTCAAAGACAGCTACACCCGCCCTAGACAGCTCGCCCCAGCGGGGGATCTCAGTGGCCTCAGGGAACTGGTGACACCAAGCGTCCGTCAGGCGGCCAAAGCAGCGCTGGGTGGAGTGCGCACCCCCGCACTGCTCACCCGCGCGGTCGCCGGTGCGTAGGACGTAGGTGCACGGACCAGTACCCCCACCCCGCTGGCGTGCAGCGTACCACTCACGGAGCTGCTGAGGGGGGGGGATGTCACGAGTGCGCTGCTGCCGCTGCTGCTGCTGCTGCTGGCGCTGACCACCACCGGAGCCGACCCTCTGCGCAGCGCCACCCCGACCAGCTCCACCTCCTCCGCCGCCGCCTCCTCCACCGCCGCCACCTCCGCCACCTCCGCTCCCACCGCCACCGCCGCCGCTGCCTCCGCCTCCACTGCCGCCACCGACACCTCCACCCCCGCCACCACTCCCACCACCACCCCCACCCCCTCCACTGCCGCCACCGCCACCTCCGCCACCCCCGCCAGCCCCTCCAGCACCCTTGCCCCCCTTGCCCTTGCCGGTGCGGCGTCTCCCGCGCGGGGCAGACGCAGCGCCGACCGACTCGAAACCAACGAGGTCGGCCGTAGCAGCAGAGGCAACAGAGGGCAAAAGGGGGGTGGGGGAACACCCCTCAAAGACGGGGGTGCGAGGGTCACCACGAGAGGCTCCTACAGCGACTATGCTCTTCTCTGCTGCTAGGAGGGCCTTCTCGAGGAGGTCAACGGTGAGAGTGGTGGGGCAAACTGAGAGGAAGTGGTCCCTGACTACGCGAAGGGAGTCAGGGAGCCGGGTGACTATGTAGTAGAGGGTGATGTACATGGGGGGGGGGTTCTTGGCGCAGAACTCAGCAGGAAGCGCAGCGCGGTAGCGAGTGTCACTAGTGCGGAGGTGCGTAATGAGGTCAGCGACTGTGGGAAAGGCAGCAAGGTCAGGGAAGAGGTACGGTAGCATGAGGCGGCTCAGTGCAGCAGTGGCAGGGGAGGAGTAGCGCGCAACTACAGCGTTGTACAAGGTGTGAGCACTCTTGTACTGGCTAAAGTGCGCACGCTCAGAGGTAGGCAGGTGGCGACGCACAGCAAGACGTGCAGCAGCATCGCGTGTGGCCCACTGTGAGCGAACAGTGGCGTCGGCATCAGCAGCAGGGGCAGGAGAGGCACCAAAGGTGAGGTCAAAGAGGGAGAGACCGTCTGCCCTATCGCACTGTAGGAAAAGCTGCAGGTCATCTACCCAGACGTCAAAGTCAATGGCCCGACCCTCAGCGTCAAAAGCGAGGACACTAGGGGTAGCCATGACAGCAGTAGACTAGCAGCGCGAACAGTAGGGTAAGGGCAGTGCAGTAACAGAGGCGCTGCTCTTACCGGACAGGGCGGCTCGAGCGGCTCGGCGGGTCGGCAACTCGGCGGCTCGGGCGGCTCGGGCGGCTCGGCGGTACGGCGGCTCGGCAGCAACTGCGACTCGGCGACTCGGCGGCTCGGGCGGCTCGGGCGGCTCGGCGGTACGGCGGCTCGGCAGCAACTGCAGCTCGGCGGCTCGGCGACCCGGCGGCTCGGGCGGCTCAGGTGGCGCGGCGGCTCGGGTGGCTCTGGTGGATCGGGCGGCTCGGCAGTAACTCGGTGGCGCCGGCGGCTCGGTGGTGACGGCGGGGCCGCGTGGGGACGGCGGCGGGGCCGGGTGGAGCGGCGGCGGGGCTGGGTGGAGCGGCGTCGGGGCCGGGTGGAGCGGCGTCGGGGCCGGGTGGAGCGGCGTCGGGGCCAGTAGAGGCGGCGCCGGGGCCGGGAAGCGCAGCTCCGGGGCCGGGAAGGGCAGCTCCGGGGCCGCAGGGGTAGGCGACGGGGCCAGCAGAGGCGGCGCCGAGGCAGGGAAGGGCGGCGCCGGGGCCGCAGGGGTAGGCGACGGGGCCGCGAGGACGGCTAGGAGGGGGGGGTCGCGAGGGCGGCTTGAAGAGGCCGCGAGGGCGGCTAGAAAGGGCCGCGAGGGCGGCGTGAAAGGGCCGCGAGGCGGCGCGACACGAAAGAGCCGCGAGGGCGGCGGATCGGGGCCGCGAGGGCGGCGCGACGCGGCCGCTAGGGCGGCGCGACGTGCAGGGGCCGCGAGGGCGACGCGACGGGGCCGCAGGCACGACGCGACGGGGCCGCTAAGGCGGCGCGACAGGGTCGAGAGAGGGGAGCGCGACTCGGGCAGTGTAGAGCGCGCTCCGGGCAGGAAAAAAAAGGTGGTGGGCCCTAGGAACAGTTCCCACAGGGGAACCTGCTCGATACCATGAGAAACTGAACGAGAATGAATTGACTAAGGGAAAGTTGGGTACAAATGTAAACCCTAGAAAACTGTACCCCATATGTGCTACCCCACTATAGCCTACAGTAGCTATGTCATATAAATTTGACACGGGTAGACCGCCAAGAGACAGAGCCGGAGCTAAGACTGAAAGTGTAACCCTGTGACGACCGCTGCGTAGCCAAGTCGTCAACCCAAGAAGCGTCTGCGTGGCCAGTGAGGACAACTGGAGCCCGTCCTCTAAGCACGAGCCCCACGCCTGACGTACTGCACAAGTAGCGCATCGCCCTCTTAGCGCCTCCCAGTGCTCTGGTCGGTGTCTCCTGGGCGCAACGTAGCGTGCCAGGATGCTAAGAGGGTAAGCAAGGTCAGGTTGAGTGCAGGTCATCAGGTACATGAGGCAGCCCACAAGCTCTGGATACGGGCCACTCGGCTCTACGGACTCATCCGAAGGCAGAGCTGAGAGCGAGTGACCGGTAGGCAGAGGAGTGGACTGTGGCGAGAAGTACGTGAAGCGGTAGCGCTGAAGGACCTGCTGCACCATGTGTGACTGAGTCAAGGTAATGGTGCGCCGTGCTCTGTCCCGGGTGATCTGCAAGCCAAGATAGCTGCGCAGCTCTCCCAGGTCTGTGCACGTGTGTCTCTTCTGCAGCTCCGACTTCACGTGAGCGAGTCCGTCAGTGTCAGCAGTGGCAAAGACTAAGTCGTTGACGTACACGAGGATGTAGAATGGCGGCAGCGAAGCGTCGGTGCGCAGAAACAGCGACGGATCAGTAGTCGAAGGAGCAAACCCAAGGGCCGCAAGCGTCGTCCTCAGTGTGTCGTGCCACTCGCGAGGCGCCTGACGGAGACCGTAGACTGGCCGGCGGAGGCTCCACTGGGTACCAGGAGGAAACGACCCAGTGAAGCCAGGTGGGCGGCGCAGCCAGATATCCTCGTGCAGGCTGCCCTGCAAGAAAGTTGTGCTGAAGTCAAGAGAGTGAAGCTCGTAGTCACGCTGAGCGGCGACGTGCAGCAGAACCCAAAGAGTGGTCATCTTCGGGGTAAGGGAGAAGGTCTGGAAGAAGTCAACTCCCTGTCTCTGACTGAAGCTTCGAGCAACGTAACGCGCCTTGAAGACAGGCGGAGAACCCGGCGGCCGCTTCACCCTGAAAATGCACATGCCACTGACGATGTTCGCCCCAGGTGGGGGAACAGCATCGACGTAAGTGCCTGTGGACTTCCAGGATGCCATCTCTGCGTCCATGGCTGACTGCCACTGAGAGGAGTAGGGCTGCAAGGGAGCCAACCCACCCGTCCTTCGTGCCGCACCCTGCTGCTGCTGCTGCTGCTGCGGCTTAGCCGCTTGCTGCCTTTAGGCCCCTGGTGACGCTTCACCACCACCACCACCACCACCACCACCACCACCACCACCACCACCACCACCACCACCACCACCACCACCACCACCACCACCACCACCACCACCACCACCACCACCACCACCACCACCACCACCACCACCACCACCACCACCACCACCACCACCACCACCACCACCACCAGCAACAGCAGAGGTGGCAGAGGGATAGCTGGGATGAGCAGCAGGCCCGTGTGTGGCGCTATAACCGCTCCACGTGTACTCATGTGTGCCGCTTATGCTCTGCTCCTCCGTCACGCTGGGGCTGCTGAACGCGCTGGCATCAAGGGGAGGCAACAAACCGTGCACTGAACCATGGAATGACGAGGGCGTGGTGAACCCACTGGGGGTCCGGCGCGGGCTCCTGCTGCTGCCGCCCGCTCCCAGCTGGTCTCGAATGCTGCGCAGCACCGACACGACCTGCTCCATGTGGGGGCGCAGCGTGGGGTGCTCCGCGGTGCACCACGTTCGCCCCAGGAGGGGGAACAGCGTCAACGTAGGTGCCTGTGGACTTCCAGGAAGCCATCTCTGCGTCCATAGCTGCCTGCCACTGAGAGGAGTAGGGACCCTCTATCGCCTCCGCGTAAGAGCGCGGAGTCGGGATGTCAAGTGCATCCGGGTCTCCCTCAGGGGTAAGCAGTACGGACACGAGATGAGGTGAAGCAGCGGCCAAGCACTGGAACTCCTCCTGCCTGTCCTCAAGGACGTCCGTGCCAAGGGCACACTCACCCCCGACGGACGGAGGACAGACAGACTCAGACTCAGCAACAAGACTGGCGACGTAGTCTAGGCGACAGCGAGCAGCAAAGTCGACGAGCTCAGCAACTAGAGCAGACGCAGCAGTGGACTCAAAGGAAGGGTCAGTGACAACCGTAGCAAGGAGACGCGTGACAGTAGGACTGGCAGCGCGAAGAGAGTCCGACTCCGGGTCGGCAAGAGTAGGAAGAGAAGACTCAGGAGGAGAAGGCAAAGGGGCACGCAGAGGAGCAGTGGACGGACGCAGAGACATCCGGTGCGTGCCAGGGACAGGAGGAGGACGCTGACGCGAACAGGCAGTGGGGAGGCCGGCTGTAACTGTAACTGCGACGGGACAGGCTGTGGACACTCTAAGGGAGGAGGAGGAGGACCAGTAGAAGGCGGGAGACCAAGAACCTGCTGAAGGAGCGGAACGAAGTACGGCCGAGGCCGCGCGGCGACTCCAGACACAGGAGGGACAGCACCAGCACCCCCAGGGGCAGCACCAGCACCAGTAGCAGCTCCAGCTCCAGAACCCCCAGCAGCACCAGTAGTACCCCCAGCAGGACCGCCTCCAGGACCGACAGCAGTAGCCTCCGTGCCAACACCCGCAGCAACTCCAGCTCCAGAAGTACCCGCAGGTCCAGCAGCTCCAGTACTCCCAGTACGAGCACCGCCGGGACCCGTGGCACCAGCTCCCTCAGAAGCAACAGAACCTCCAGTACCCGCAGCACCTGCAGCTCCAGCAGCTCCAGCAGCTCGCCTCCAGCGCCGGGCAAACCACTCACGCAGCTCCTGGGGAGAGAGTGGCTCCCGGCGAGAGGGAGCACCCGGTGAACCGCCAGGCACAGCACCACCAGGCGTAGCACCCCCAGGCTCAGCACCTCCAGGCGTAGTACCCCCAGGCTCAGCACCCCCAGACGCAGCACCCCCAGGCTCAGCACCTCCAGGCGTAGTACCCCCAGGCTCAGCACCCCCAGTCGTAGTACCCCCAGACTCAGCACCCCCAGGCTCAGCACCCCAAGGCTCAGTACTCCCAGGCGTAGCACCCACACGCTCAGCACCCCCAGAGTCAGCACCCCCAGGCTCAGCACCCTCAGCAGCACCAGAGTCACCAGCGACCTCGACAGGCTCAACAGCATCTACCTGGGACACACCTGAAGGGGCAGGACCCTGAGGGGGGAGGGGGTCTACCGGGGGGGGACCTGGTACAAGGAAGAGCGGTGGCGGGGGGAGGGACGGAGTGCGGTAGGGGAAGAGGCGGTAGTAGGGGACCGACTCGTCGAACGTGACGTCCTGGGAGGACAGAACACGGCGAGAGGTGGGGTGGTAGAACTGCCACCCTGGGGCGTCAGGGGGGAAACCCAGGAAGACGCAAGGAGCAGCACGAGGGGACAGCTTGTCCGCAGACAAGTCGCGGACAAACGCCCGAGATCCCCAGACACGGAACGCAGACGCATCGCCAACCTTCCCCGTCCACAGCAAAGCTGGGGAGGTCTCCGGCATGGAGACCCTGGGGTGAAGGTTGATCTGATGCGCCGCGTACCGAACCGCAAACGGCCACAGAAAATGGGGGGCAGCCGCATGCATCATGGACGTACGGGCGACGTCCATGACCATGCCAATGCGGCGCTCAGCAATCCCATTTTGCTGTGGAGAGTCCGGAAGCGTGAAGGTCTGGCGGATGCCTCGTGCACGACAGTAGGCTCGCAGAAGGCCAGAGGAGAACTCTCCGCCTCTGTCAGAGTGCAGACGCAGAACAGGAAAGTCCGAGCCAAAGCTCCGCCTGAGCTGGAGACGAGCTGCGCGGATCCAGTCGATCAACACCTCAGTGACATCACCCTTGCTGCGCAAGGGGAAGACTGTGGTGTAACGCGAGTAGTCGTCAACCACCAGCAGGAAGTAGCGCTCGTGACCCTGTCCACGGACGCGGGCCGGGCCCCACACGTCCATGTGAAGCGTCTGCAGCGGGGCCTCTGTCGGAGGAAACTGGGAGGAGTGAGGGGTAGCCCGCTGCCGTCCCTCGACACAGGGGACGCAGGTAGGGCCTGGCCCCGGAGGAAGGGGAGGGAGGGACCGGGGAAGACCAGAGACAAGGACACGGGAGGCCATGCTCCGGAGACGAAGCAGGGAGGGGTGGCCAAGGCGGTGGTGCCAGAGGAGAGTCTCGTGAGACAGGAGGCGACACGAGCAGGGGGCAGACTCAGGACCAGACCTGGACGCTGCAGCAAACACCTGACCCGACGCAGCTACCTGACCAGACGCAGGGACTGGAGGAGACGCAGTGGTCAGTGTGTACAGGCTCGACCCTGGCCGACGTGTAAACGTGGCCAGGTGGCGGCCTGTCCGAGCGTCCGTGCAGTGGGTCACCCGCTGACTCGCAGGAGTGAACTGGTGAACCCCCGCATCCTGTAGGTCAGCACCACTCACCAAGTTCGTAGAGAACGAGGGGAGGTAGAGACCAGACAGGGTGCCAGAGGGGGCCGCCGGACACGGGAGGACAGTGGAGAAGTGAGCAAGGACAGGACCCCCAGAGGGGTCTGCCAGGGAGACCGCAACTGGCCGGCCAAGCGGCGTGAGTGTGGTGCGGTCTCGAAAGAAGGAGCGAGAAGCCCCCGAGTCAAGTGTGAAGGTGTGGGAGGCCGAAGCCGACGCAGAATCTGAGAGAGCAGACTCACCAGCACCTGAGGGAGCAGACGCACCTAGAGCAGCAGCCTCGCTAGCACCTAGAGCAGCAGCCTCACCAGTACCTAGAGCAGCAGTCTCAATGCCCGGGTCGGGCGGAAAACACCGGTAACAGTCACCCTCATCACTAATAGTCACAGTATACACGGCAGCAAGAATAGCATCAAAGTCAAGGTCAAAGACAGCTACACCCGCCCTAGACAGCTCACCCCAGCGGGGGATCTCAGTGGCCTCAGGGAACTGGTGACGCCAAGCGTCCGTGAGGCGGCCAAAGCAGCGCTGGGTGGAGTGCGCACCCCCGCACTGCTCACCCGCGCGGTCGCCGGTGCGCAGGACGTAGGTGCACGGACCAGCACCCCCACCCCTCTGGCGTGCAGTGTACCACTCACGGAGCTGCTGAGGGGAGGGGACGTCACGAGTGCGCTGCTGCTGCTGCTGGCGCTGACCACCACCGGAGCTGACCCTCTGCGCAGCGCCACCCCGACCAGCTCCACCTCCTCCGCCGCCTCCTCCTCCACCGCCGCCACCTCCGCTCCCTCCGCCACCGCCGCTGCCTCCTGCGCCTCCACTGCCGCCACCGACACCTCCACCCCCGCCACCACTCCCACCGCCACCCCCACCTCCTCCACCACCTCCACCGCCGCCTCCACCGCCCCCGCTAGCTCCTCCAGCGCCCCTGCCCCCCTTGCCCCTGCCAGGGCGGCGTCTCCCGCTAGGGGTAGACGCTGCCCCAACCGACTCCAAACCAGCGAGGTCGGCCGCAGCAGCAGAGGCAACAGAGGGCAAAAGAGGGGAGGGGGAACACCCCTCAAAGATGGGGGTGCGAGGGTCACCACGAGAGGCTCCTACAGCGACTATGCTCTTTTCTGCTGCGAGGAGGGCCTTCTCGAGGAGGTCAACGGTGAGAGTGGTGGGACAAACCGAGAGGAAGTGGTCCCTGACTACGCGAAGGGAGTCAGGGAGACGGGTGACTATGTAGTAGAGGGTGATGTACATGGGGGGGGGGTTCTTGGCGCAGAACTCAGCAGGAAGCGTAGCGCGGTAGCGAGTGTCACTAGAGCAGAGGTGCGTAATGAGGTCAGCGATTGTGGGAAAGGCAGTAAGGTCAGGGAAGAGGTACGGTAGCATGAGGCGGCTCAGTGCAGCAGTGGCAGGGGAGGAGTAGCGTGCAACTACAGCGTCGTACAAGGTCTGAGCACTCTTGTACTGGCTAAAGTACGCACGCTCAGAGGTAGGGAGGTGGCGACGCACAGCAAGACGTGCAGCAGCATCGCGCGTGGCCCACTGGGAGCGAACGGTGGCATCAGCATCAGCAGCGGGGGCAGGAGAGGCACCAGAAGTGAGGTCAAAGAGGGAGAGGCCGTCTGCTCTGTCGCACTGTAAGAAAAGCTGCAGGTCATCTATCCAGACTTCAAAGTCAATGGCCCGACCCTCAGCGTCAAAAGCGAGGACACTAGGGGTAGCCATGACAGCAGTAGACTAGCAGTGCAAACAGTAGGGCGAGGGCAGTGCTGTGAGAGAGGCGCTGCTCTTACCGGACAGGGCGGCTCGGGCGGCTCGGCTGCAGGGCGGCTCGGCGGCTCGGCGGCTCGGCGGCTGGGCGGCTCGGCGGCGGGGCGGCTCGGCTGCTGGGCGGCTCGGCTGCGGACAGGGCGGCTCGGCGGCTGGGCGGCTCAGCGGCTCGGCTGCTGGGCGGCTCGGCTGCTGGGCGGCTCGGCTGCTGGGCGGCTCGGCGGCTGGGCGGCTTGGCTGGGGCCGCTGAGAGGGCGGCGTCCGGGGCCGCTGGGAGGAGGCGGCGGGGCCGCAAAGGTAAGTGGCGGGGCTGCGGAGGTAGGTGGCGGGGCCGCACAGTGAGGTGGCGGGGCCGCGAAGGTAGGTGGCGGGGCCGCACAGGTAGGTGGCGGGGCCGCGGAGGTAGGTGGCGGGGCCGCACAGTGAGGTGGCGGGGCCGCGAAGGTAGGTGGCGGGGCCGCACAGGTAGGTGGCGGGGCCGCGGAGGTAGGTGGCGG